AAAGCAAGAGAAGAGAGCAAAAAAAAGGAGGTGTTCTTCAAACTCCAAAGAGGGTGCACGAAAATGGAGATGAGGATGATGCTTCTTCCTTCTTCTAACTCACCAATGGGTAACTAAACCTCATCTAGGGAGGTGATGAAACCCCTCCCTTGTAAGCATGTGTTAGTATAGTTTATTTTTGGGGATTACAATGTATTTTTGATAGTCTTTCCATGATCAAGAGCCTCATTTTTGTTGTAATGAATGTTGAATGTTTATAAATGATTATTGTGAGTTATTCATCTTGTCTTGGATGGTTACTTTTCTTAATCATATTGCTTGCACTTCCATGGTGACAATGGAAGTTAGATCATGGAATGGTTTTAATGGCATAGAGTTGGAGAACCTAGATAGTTCATGGCTTAGGGTTTCCCTTTGATGGTCTATACTTGATTCTTAGCTTTATGTGCATTCACCATTAAAATTAGGGCTTGATAATCCTTGACTTAGTAAGCATGTTCTAAGTTACATTTTAGTTTAGGTAGTTGATCATGTGAGCCTTTGATGGTTTATTCTTGCCTCTCTATTTAAATGAACTTCTTGAGGATATTATAGCACCCTAGTATTGTTATGTATCATGACTATCATATATGTTGTTTTTCCCTTAAATTAATCTTAACCTAGCATGTGTATAGGGATGGAGGTGGATTCATTTCCCTAGCCTTCTTTACTTGTACTTCACTCCCTTGAATTCTTGCAATTTATTGTTTTATGCACTTTTAATTTCCTAGCTTAAGTGACATCCAACAAAACCTCTATAAACCCTTCATCATTCTAAGAATGATTCTAGACATTTAGGTTGTATTAGACTAGCGCAGTCCCAGTGGTTCGACTTACCCGACCAATAGCCCTATTTTACAATGATTCGTGCTATTGCGAAGGTTGATGTTTAATTGACCAACCAATCACAATGTATGTGTTGTTAGCTTTAGAAAGCATCTTCCCATTCCTAAAAAATTCAAGTACAGCTTTAGTGACAGTTCTTCCAACTATTCTCCATGCTTTTTGAAAGAATGTTACATTGTAACCATCTGGACTAGGGGATTTGTCTTTGCTGAGCTTAAGCATACATGATTGGATGTCATTGTGGGATTGGGCCTCTTCCAAAAAACTATGGAGGTGAGCAGGAACTAATCTGGTGATGAATGGTTGAAGATCACAAATGTTGTGTGTTGGAGGAGAAAAGCAGCCAAGAAGGTTTTGAAAGTGGGAAACAACTGCTATTTTGATGGCTTCCCGATCAGTTAGAACTTGACCATCATCAGTAGTAAAGGAGACAATTTCTTCCTGTTGTTTCTGAATGAGAAATTCCTTGTGGAAGTAGGAGGAGTTGCAATCAACCAGCTTCAACCATGTCATTTTTGATCTTTGCCTCAACATATCTTCTTGGTGTTTAGCTAGCCTCAGGTATTCATTAGTGAGTGACTTTTCAAGTTGCCTAAGGAGATGATTGCTTGGATTGGAGTCAAGATCAAGTTGACAAGAGTCCAACTCCATTTTAACTAAATGTAGCTTAGATTCAATATCAGTAAATTCCTTCTTGCAGTTGATTTTGAGGACTTGTTTTAGCAGTTTGAGCTTTTGAACACATTGGTACATTGCTGTGCCCTCAATGTGTGTGTTATATACATCCTGAACTGAGGGTAGGAACTTGGGATAAGAACTCCAAGTATTGAAGAATTTGAATAGGAGACATCTCCTTGGGAGGTGGAAATCCATAGAAACAAGAATGGGACTGTGGTCTGAGATCCCTGGAGTCAAGAAGCTGTACTCAGATACTAGGAATGAGCTGGTCCACTTTTGGTTAACTAATGCTCGATCCAATTTTTTGGCTATGTAAGCTACTCCCGAGCTTCTGTTACACCAAGAATAGAGTATACCATTGAATTTCAGGTCTTCAAGCTCAGCTTCCTACAGGCATTCTTTGAAGTCAGTCATGGCTGGGTACCATCTCATTGAGCCACCATACTTCTCTCTGGCATTGGGAATGGCATTGAAGTCTCCCATCAAAAGCCAAGGGGATTGGACAAAGTAACCTGCATGAAGTATGATGTTCTCCCAAAGCACATGTCTCTCAGCAACAGAGTTAGCTGCATATATGAAGGAAATGAAGAAGGAAATGTTTTGGCCTGTGATGGATATGCTACAGTGAATGGCTTGCCTATTTGTATCAATCACATTAAGATCAATGACATTTGGGTTCCAAAATACCCAAATTCTGCATAAAGGAGAGAAACTGTAGTTATGTACCAAGGACCAAGTGGGAGCCAGGAATCTATGTATAGATTCAATGTTGGTTTAAGAGACTTTAGTCTCAACTATAGAGACTTAATCAAGCTTTTTTTCAGAGATCAGCCTTTTGATCTCTGTTTGTTTAGAGGGCTGGTTTAGCCCTCTAATGTTCCATGTGAGGAAGGAGATCATTAAAAGGATGGGAGATAGAACCTTCAAGATGTTTGTGGCATTGGACATGACCATTAAACATCAATTCTGAGCTGCCACTGGACTTCCTCCTAGCTGCTTTCTTCATGGATCTTATTGTGACTTTTTCATTGGTGGACTTTACATGTGGTGAAGACAGGTTGAATGAGTGGTGATTAATCCCTTATTTCCTGGCCAGTGGAAAAGTTGATGGTGAAGTTAGGTGGGGATCCTTATAAGTTAATTTTGGAGGGGATGGTGTCATATTTGAGAAGTTAAGTTTCTTGCAGCATAGTGGAGAGTGGAATGGTAAGTGTATAGTGGATGGATTGGGAGAGCTTGAAAATGTGTTCTGTACCATTGTGCCTGAAGATGAGTGACTAATGTGATGGGAATGGGTGGTTTGGATGTTGGTAGATGTGTTTACTTCCTGAGGTATATGGGCTAGGATTGAGAATTGATTTGTAGGGGTGTTTGAAATGGGTTGAGGGAGGGGTTCATCGATGATTGGGGTTGAGTTCCTTCTTTTCTTCCTGACTGTAATCCATTCAGTATTGGGTGGGTTGGTTGCTGGACTGTGATATTTTTGTGGTGACCTGGAGTCATTGGGGGATCCATTGTGTTTGGTTTTGTGTTTGGTTGATTTAATGTAGTTGAGGGGGCATTGTTCATATGTGTGGTTGAGTTGATTGCATTTGGTACAGGTCTTTGGAAGCCATAGGTATTCGATTCTGACTTGCTCTAGGCTGTCATCCTCCATTTTTAGATGTATTTCATGCTTCATTGGTTTGGACAAGTTAAGATTGATACAGATTCTTGCAAATTTAAGCTTAATTCTATTCCCAGTGGCTTCATCTGCATAAAGAGGCTCACCCACTGAACTAGCTATGTAGCTAAGGCCTTTGGCTGTCTAATAGTTAGGTGGCATACCATGAAATTTGACCCAAGATGGGAAGCAGCCAAGGTGGTTCAGGTGTGGTTGGTTAACCTGATTCCATTTCATCAAGGAAAAATGATGGCCTGCAATGGACCATGGCCCCAATGATAAAACCTTTTCTGCTTCAATGGTTGATTTAAATCTGAAGAAAAAAGAATTCCCTTCACCTTGGATAGTGTTAAGTCCATGCTTGTTCTATAGCTTAGCCGCTGCTGATTGGATGACCTTGAAGGGGATTCTTTTGTGGATGGATATCCCTACTAGATGGGATTCATTCCAAAAGTGGAAACCTTTATCAATAATTTCTTTGGGGAGGTCAATGATGTTGGATGAAGGGGATGAAGGAAAAAGGTATTCGAATCTCATTTTATCATTGCATTGTTTTACCACTTTAGTCCATGACTTTGCCTCCTGGTTAGTAATCTGAGGTGGTGGTGGATAAGGGTCGCTAGGTTGAGGGTCATTGATGTGATATGGTAGAGTAGAAATATGTAATGGTTGTGCCTTGGACCGAGTTGAGTTTGGCTGTAGGCTAAATGTAAGTTGTAAAGTAGGAGATGGTATGTGGTTGGTGGGAAGGTTGTCAGTGGTTACCTCTATTGGAGTAGTGTGTGGGACAAGAGGTAAGGCTGACTGCAAAGGCACATGTCTTGAAATTTTGACTGTTTCATTTGAATTCAAATTCAAATTAGAGTTCAAACCTGGGTCCACATTGGTTGTCAGGTCACCGGAGGTGGTGGCTGTTGGTGGATGTTGGTGGCTGCTCTGTGTCTTGAGATTAGCAATCTCAGCTTGTAACTTTGAAATTGTGTTCATGTAGCTTTGGTGATTGATTGATGAAGCCTTCTGGATTTTAAGTTGAGCTATTTCTTCCCTTAATTCTGAGATTATCTTGTTCTTCTCCTTGAACATGTCCAGTGCTTTGCCCAAATTCTCATCCTTCCATTGTAGTTGTTCCGTGAGCCGATCAATCTGGTGTGCTGGGGAGCTATAAAGTAATGGATTGAAGTTCCTGATTTGCTGAGTCTGCGAACTTGTAGGTTGTAGATGATCTGGAATGATATCATGTGAGTGAGGTGAGTGATCCTTTGGTGAGGTAGGGGCAGTGATTATGTTGCTTATGTTTCGGATAGGTTTAATGGTGGGTGATAGGAATGCTTTCCCATTGATGGAGGGTGGTAGTGAAGGGGGATAGACTTGTGTAAGTAAGGTTGTTGATGCTGTTGATGGTTTTGTTGGTTTGGGGATGGTTGGGGGTGCTGGTATCCTTGGAGTTATTTTTAGTGCAGTGTCTTGTCTTTCAAACAGCTGGCTTCAATGAAAAAGATAAAAATGTACCCCCTAACAAGGCAATTCACGTTTTAGTGACTAAACAAAATTTATTTCACTTGAAAGGACATGTCTTTGATCTAATTACTAAAATTGAAAAAAAAAAATTAGGTCAGTGGGGTTGGGTGATATTTTGGCGTCAAGTTCTTCATCATTTAAATTTCGGTACCAAATTGATTAGACTAAAAAGGAAAGGTGATTGGGGGAGTAGTTCACAACTCACATGCTTCAATGAAGTTTGCAGTGTTGTGGACCTATTAAATCCACATCAATTTGATTTGATAGTTGCCCACCCTCGATAGGTGTTTTACTCCTAAAAAAAACCACCTAGGCGTAGGTCGGTGTGAGACTGTAGATTCTAAATGAAAGTAGAGTTGAAAACCTTTAGAGAGAGAGAGAGAGAACATTTTTGTGAAAGCAGCCCACTGTTTTCTTCTGTTGCAGGAAAGGTATGCCCTTTTTTATTTTTCATCTTTTCCTCAGTGAATGATTTGAGTCTTGTGTTTAACAAACTCTGTAGTTGTGATTTAGGAATTAGGGACACTTCTAGGAACGAGATGTACTGATGTTAACATTTCCTTAGATAAATCATAGCTTGGTGAAATCTGGGGGCATTGTTTTTCCACAACTTCTCCAACAATGGTGAGTCTTCCAATACTATCAACTGCCGCAAGAAGGTATGTTCATCACCTCCTCTAATTTTGTCATAAAAGCACGGAAAAGTCCAATAAACCACCCTTCTACTATACTCCATGTAGCAAAAAAATTTATCCCATCGAGCGGATTAATTTTGTTCGTTAAACAACCCAAACTAATTGACCTTACAGACCTCCTAAAAGGTAAAAGACCATAGTGTCCTATTGCTATTAGAGACAACCCCAGCCAAACATTCCCCATCATTTAACCTTAAATCTTCCCAAAATCCATCATTTACATCAATTCTCTCTCTCTATCTTTTATCTCTATTTGCATGTATGTATATAAATACATACATATCATTGAATCGTTCACACATTAATTGCCAAGGGGTGTGCGTCTTTGAATCAATCACAGATTAATTGCCAAGGGGTATGTGTGTGTGTGTATATATATATATATATATATCTACCCACACTGACACACATATATAATGAAATGAAAACTTTGTGTCTTTTTCTCTGTATATATATATAGAAGTGAAAACTCTGTATTGGGATATATAATAAGCGAATCAGTACACACTAATGCCAGAACAACAGGAAAATCCATGAAAACCACCGTTTCCGAATGATTGAAGCAACAAAACCTGGTTCAGACCCGACTATCCTACGCTGTTCGACTGTTCGTAGCCGAATAGGCACTGTAATTGGGACACCGGACCGGGTTGGATCAGGAAATGATAAGATAGAAGATGAAGTTAGTTTATACCAGTCATCTTCTTCGACCTCTCGCAATCTCAGTCGTTCAAGCTGATCCACGCCCATACATCTCTGACGCTGCATCTTCTTCTGAGTCGACTCGTTCGACTTTGATTTTCTCCTTATACCATGTTTCCCATTTTAAGTCCTTGTTTATTCACACCCATTAAAGCCTTTTGTGTTCTAATCATCGCAAGCCATAAGAATTGAAGTAACCATTAACAACCAATGAAGAAAATGGGTTTTACGAGAGAGAAAGAAGATGGGTTTGATGAGATAGAGTGTGTGTTTCTGTGCAGAGCCGTTAAGGAAGAGATATGGCTGGTGAGGTGTCATATTTTGATTGGTTTCTTTTATTGTGATCCTCCACATGATATGGCAATACTTATAAATGTGAAAATAAGAGTAAAATGGCGCCATTTTAAATAAGGGCAAAAATGTCTTTATGGAATTCCGGTGATGGGAGCCTTGGGAGGCGATTGGAATAACTTTCTCCCTCCTAGAACTTAAGCAATTTCATAGTCCTAAGGGGTTATTTGTAGCTGGGGCCTAGAATCAATTTCATAGTGGGAGGGGGTTATTTGTAGTCGGGGGTTAGTTGCACTTGAGTAATAATTGAAGGGCGATTTATTACACTTTGATCCCTTTACCGAAATCTCTCTTGAACTCTGTAGGACTCAATCTTGCGATTTGATTTCAGCCACATCATCATCGATTTTATTCAACTTTATCACTTGCAAATTCAATTTTTTTTTTTTAATAAAAAATAATTCAACATGGAAGGTAACAAGATGATGGCTTGGTTGAAACCGGACAGAATCGAGGTCTGCTGAGTTTGTAAGAGATTTCACAAGAGAATCCGTTTCTGTAAAGTTCTTTTGCAATTCTTGACATTAATTTCTTCTTAAGGATGCATAGCAAACAGAGCCCAAATTAAGTTGTTTCATGCATAGACCAGCCTTGTTCAACTATTTGACTCAATATGAGCTCCTAATGCTTGCTTTGTCATGCATCTTGAAAACTAGATTGGAAGGTAAGGTGGCTCTGATCACAGGCGGGTCTGGCGGCAATGGATCCTCTACAGCAAAGCTATTTTGTCAACATGGTGCCAAAGTTATGATCGCCGACATCCAAGATGATCTTGGCCATTCAATTTGCAAGGACTTAGGTCCCACTCATGCTTCCTTCATCCACTGTGATGTCACAAATGAAACGGATGTGAAAAATGCCATTGACAGGTCTGTTGCCAAACATGGCAAGCTTGACATAATGTTCAACAATGCAGGCATCTTAGGAATAAAAAAAGCCAATAACATTCTTGAAAATGACAAGTCTCAATTTGAGAAAATTCTCCGTGTAAACGTAGTAGGTGCATTTTTGGGTACCAAACATGCAGCACGTGTGATGATACCAGCTCGTCAAGGAGCCATAATTAACACAGCTAGTGTTTGTTCAGTAATGGGAGGTCTTGCTCCACATGATTATACATGTTCCAAGCATGCATTGCTCGGCCTCACTAGGAACACCGCGGTGGAGCTAGGAAAGTTTGGCATTCCTGTTAATTGTGTATCACCTTATGCTGTTCCAACTCCGATGCCAATGGAGTTTTTTGATATGAAAGATGAGGATTTCAATGATGCAATTTCAACCCTCAAAGGGGTATCTCTCAAGGCAGAGGATATAGCCAAAGCTGTTCTGTATTTGGCAAGTGATGACTCTAAGTATGTGAGTGGCCACAATTTGATCGTTGATGGAGGTTTTACTGTTGTAAATGAGGTTTTTCAATGTTCAATTAATAGAACTCCTGCTTTTTTTATTTTTATTTTTTATTTTTTATTTATTATTTATCATTGAACAAATCTTCAACTCCTTCCAATAACCGAATAAATGGGGCTAACTCCTTCCAATCTAGTGTTAAGCCCAGGTAAAGCTTCGTTTATATCCGCAAGTGTGGCTCTTAAAGAATTGTCAAGTCATTTCAAATTAGGCCAGTCATTAGGATTAGCATTATATGTTGACGTTAAATTTTATAAATTATGTCATTATAAAATGTGTAACTTGTAAATTTTGCCATTATTTTTTTTTTTAGAAAAAACAAAGAAAAAAAAACAAAGTAAATTTTACATGGACTTTATCCTATAATTTACGGCGCCAAACTGATTGCAACGAAGAAAATTAAAGGGGAAAGTGCACAAATTCACAAGCTTTTTGTGATTGAATAGTTAAAATCAGTGCAAGAAAAAGTAAAAAAAAAAAAAAAAAAAATTATTCTCGAAAGATATTACGTGCACAAGTAAAAGGTGGAGATCACCTCATATAAAGTGTGATTCCACAAATAAGATGGACCTGCAATCCGGCCCCCCATATAGAGCAATCTCCACTCTCCCATATATGCGGAATGGCACATTAGAGGATTTAGATCCCCCACCCCTCAAAAAAGAAAAAGGTTTTACTAAAACTTGTAACGAAATGATCTATTTCTTCAATCTCATCCATTTTTTTTTGGATGTCATTTTTAACAAATAATTGCACTCCCTCTAATCTTGCCAAAAAAAAAAAGGACCAAATTTCATTGCCTTGGAAAGACTTGAAATAATTGACAAGCTCTTGCGACTTAGTTTTCAACACTCGCGTCTATGCAATCATGATGGAATAATCAAACTGATCAATGAGAAGGCAACTGTATAGGCCATCCATAACTTATCGCAAGTGGGCTTTGTCTTCTACACAGACTTTTCTTTTCCACAATTTGGGAAAATTTTGGCAGCAAATTCTTATGAGCTCCCTCTTTTCCAGACTTCATAAGTGGGGGAAAAGCTAATTTTGTGAATTAAGTTTGCAGAAAAGGTACACCTTTTGATTTCTCTTGTTTAATTTCCTCCATAAATAATTTGATTCTGTTTAAAAATCTATTGAGTGCTTTATAATAATCATGCACGTGATACATGAGCAAGTTTATATAATAGGGTCTATAGTTAGTTGTGATGCTTATAATTCTGGTAGATATTTCCTTAGATAAATCATAGCTTGGTTAGGTGTGTTTGTGTGATATTCCTTAATTGATACGGAGTATTTATTACAAATTAACAAATTAAGTTGGGTTAATATTTTCTTAGATCAGAGCTTGGTACTGAAGTCCCCTGACATTGTTTTCCCGCAATTTCAACAAATTCTCTAACTATGGCGAGTCTTCCAATACTATCAACTGCAGCAAGAAGGTATGATCATCAGATCCTCTAATTTATTCATATATATATATATATATATATGCAGGCACGGATCCAATTAGGGACCGCCCCACTGGAAATTTTTTTATTTACATTATTAGTTATATATTTTGTTACAATTTTAAAAATGCCCCCACTCAATATTATACTTAACATTCTTGCCCCCACTATTTTTTTAATCCAAAAAATAATTGTCTTCCCTTTTCACTCTCTACCGCCCCCTCATTTGTGATAATCAATTCTATTTCACACACTCATATTCCCACTTAATTTTTGAAAATACCCACTAAATATTCATGCATCCATTAATTTTTGTAGTAAAAAATAAAATAAAATAAATCGGCTCACTTATTGGATAAGATTGAAAGGTCAAAAAAATCTAGTTTTCACATTGACACAAGTTGGAGATGGCCCAACATGTGCTGGACAAGTCACAAAAAATTGAATTTTCATATTTGTTATTTTATTCTAAAAATATTTTAATCCAATTTTTTTTATTCTTCAACAGCGCCCCCCATCAAAAATATTTATGGGTCTGTCATTGTTGACGCTAAAATCGACTCTTTGGATCCGATTCGGAATTGATATGATGCGGGTGTGCCAAAACCAATTATATGGTTCAAGTGTGAGTTGTCAACGCTAGTCTCTTTGAAAATATTGACTATCAGACGATTCGAGAAGAAATAGAATAAATATAACTCCTCTTTGAGTTCTAATTGCCTTAGGCTTCGTTTGGATACGGAGGAGAGAAAAGAAAAGAAAGGATTAGAAAAGAAAGGAAAAGAAAGGAAAGGATAGCTATAATGTTTGGATAAATAGGAGAGAAAAGAAAGGAAAACATAATATGCTTGTTTGGATAAAACAGAGGAGAAAAAAGAAAGGAAAGGATAATAATGAAATTACTATATTACCCTTTTATATATTTTGATAAATAATCATTCATAACTTGATAGCATACTGGTTTTTCTTTCTCTCCCTCAGTTTCATTGGAAACTAAAATTAATAATAACTAAAAAAACAAGATAACTTGATAGCATACTACTGTTGTTGTTTTTTTTTTTTTTAATAAGTAACTTGATAATATACATATAACTTGATAACATACTTCGAAGATAGATAGATAGATATGGATGTAAGATTTTTATACCACATTTTTCTCATCTCTTCATAAACTTTAGGGTTTTTTTTTTTTTTTTTTTTTTTTTTGGATAATTAAAATAATACTAAATAATTAATACCAACTAAAAGTTAGTACATTCTTAATAGACAATTTTACTATAAATCAATGTCTATACGTAAGATATGCAATACATTGTTCAATTATGTATCACATGCTTCTTAACTTGGATAAAAGAGTGCTACATATATATGGTTCTTCTATACCTGTAACACCACAAATATGTAGTCACACCCCTAATTCCCTGTGTTTAGATCAATATTTGCTTGTCCCTTACATAGGTAAACAAATTTTTTTAAAACAAGGAGTAATATATATAAGTAAAAAATCACTTCTCAAACACTTCTCAATTGAAGATAGAATAGGCTCAATTCACAAAAAGTAAAATTATAACAAAACGACACAACAAATCACTTCTCAATTGAACACAATATAGCCTCAATTCACATCCAAGCTACATTCACACGCCTAGTATAACATAGTACACAGACTTTAATCCATTATAGTTTTTTGTTTCTACATTCACACGCCTACTCAGGAATTCATCAAGACCTTAAAAAAAAACATATGCCATCTTTCAACACACCATACGAAGTTCTATAGAGTTTACATACCAAAAGCTCCATAACAAAAAAATAAAATAAAATAAAATAGATACAAAAAAATACATAATTAAACTTAGACATAATACCAAGTTCTACTAATTGTTCCAAAATATTACCAACTTAAAAGACATTGTCAAAAGTTAGTATAACCGAAACCATTATCAACGTCAAGAATCATTGGACATCAGTTCCTCCAGGAGTATCTTGCGAAGCACAGGTGGGCAACCAATAAATTGTGTCATTCTCTCAGGATGGTCACGCTTAGTCAGAAAAATAAAGGCCTTAACAGCTGCATACCCCTCTAATCCAATTTCTGCCAAAATCTTAAAGAGTTCTTCTTCATATTTTCCCTTTTAGTTGCACTTCTCATAAATATGGTTGAATGTTTTGTGAATATCATTTCCCTCTTTTAGAGAAGCAGTCACACCTCTCACTATTTCAATTATTTCATTATCTCCATCAACAGTCGAATAATTCCTTTTTCTCTTTCCTTTTGAAGAAGTGGAATGGGAAGGTGCACTTGAAGGTGTTTCAGGAGACATCATATTCATATTCTCAAACTCATGATCCATAAAAAATGTATTATCCAAACTTACTTCATTCCGGGACACCATGTGATCAATAGCATCAATGCTCTCCATTATTTCATCATTAGGACTTGACTCCCTTTCATTACTCTTCTCTTTTCCTTTTGTTGCCCAATCATTAATCCTCTCCTTAGCAGTGGCTGCATTAGACCCAGTTGCCCTATCCTTGCCAAATAAATCCAGCAACTTATCATAGTTGTAAATTGGAGTAGTTTTCCATTTCTCCGCTGCTGGATTTGACTGTTGGCGAAACATAAAAAAAAACTACATTATCATTATTTCAAGCTAAAACAAAGGCAGAATAAATGTAACTATTAAAAGAAAAAATAAATAAATAAATAAATAATCTCAATTAAATAACTAACCTCAATTAAAGAAGCCCAAACTTCAGTATACCACATTTTTGTTGCTTCACTCCAAGCAAACCCACTCAAACCAGTTTTGAATAAGTCAAAACACTCGTTAAATGTTTTCTTTATTGTTTTCAATCGATTCTTCACTTTATCTTTGTTGATATCGATACCTAATCTTTCTTTCAATTCATCAACAATCTCACTGTAAGCTTTTGTTATAAATGTACCATCAATCATATTCCCCTTCACAAATTGATTGTGCAATGCATCTACAAAAATATCATCCATTTGTGCAATCCAAACACATCTATCTCTCTTCGACCCACCACTTATGTTTAATTGATTACTCATTCTTATATCTATATAAAAACAAATATAATAGAAAGAAATGAAGGAAAAAATAAATCATTTAACTAAAGGTAAACAAAAACTGTTTGCAAGGTAGGAGTTTATAACAAGCTATAATTAGCATTCTACATCTCCAAATGAAGCACTCTGACATAAAATAAGTTACAGAAAAATTAAACATAAGCAAATAAGTTTTAAGTTATTGCAACCAAATAAAACATTTCAGGTATTACACATGATTAGCTACATAGTCATGCCACATATGGGAAGTTATTGAATCTCTCAAGTGTTTTCCCAAACTATGATCTTCACTTCTTTCCATTGGACCATGCTCTTCATGTGGAGTTTCATTTAAGAGCTCCCGATCTACTTCATTAAAAAGGCTTTCATCCGGATCCATGCCCATTAAATAGTTGTGTATGATGCAACAAGCTAAAATGATATCAACTTGAGTTTTAACATCATATGTTGGTTCAGTACTGCTTCCTATGATAGGAAATCATTTCTTCAACACACCAAAAATTCTCTCAATAACATTGCGCAATGATGCATGTCGAAGGTTGAATAACTCTCTAGGATTCTCTTGTCGGCGTGAGGCATATTCTTTTAA